AAGTTAAAAAAAGAGTATCCTTTAAAAAAAATAAAAAAATAAAAAGAATAAAATAAAAAAGAATAAGAATAAAAAAATAAAAAGAATGCTTTTATTGAAAGCAATAAAAGAATTCTTTCCAAGATGGCCAAACTAAAGGATGGAAATGCTTGTGGCTTTTGGAAATGCTTGTGGCTTTTGGAACAGGACCCAGACACAGGAGTTGGGTCAGCTCCTGCCTCTCCCTTAATCTGTAAGCTTAGACTAGACTCTCACTTCATTTATCTGTAAAGCAGGCAAAGGAAAGAGTGTTCTTCTCGCGAGGCCATCAAGGACTGTAAAGCGTGGTGCTTGGCATATCGCGAGAACTCAGAGTGGCGTCTTCCAAGGCAGAGGTCGGGTCGATGAGAACAATATGGAGCAACTGGAGACAGGAGGGCTCAGCTGGAACGGGAGGTCGCAGGGGAAAGGGGAAAGGAAAAACAGGAGAGAAGAGAAAGGAGAGGCCAAAAATAATGTCTTTGAACTAAGTAAGATTCCATCAAACGCTGCTCTCTTCAGAACTACCTTAGTGAAAACCCGCGAACCGGCTAAGTTCACCCTGGCGGGCACTCCCTGCCGCAGCCCTTCCACTTTTAGCGCTTCTCTAAGCCCTCTGGGCTCCTGCCACCCTGGTGCCTGTGTGATAACCAGTCCTGGTCTTCAGAGACCATACTGGGCAGCCGCCCTAAGAACTCTCACAAATGTCTTGTTGCCCGCACTGCATGACGAAGTAAGGAGGAGAGGAAGGGGAAAGTTGTCATTTTTGTTCGTTTTATTATTAGGAGTGTCATTACTTGGCTTTCTTTGCGTTTACTGTTTTCTGTGTGCTAACGTGTCAGGGCGCGTGTAGGTCAGAGTTGATTCTCTCCTCGGCCTTTATGTAGGTTAAGGGGATCGAACTCAGCTCGCCAGATCTGTGCAGCAAGCACCTTTATCTGCTGGTCCTTACTTTTTATTATTATTCTTTCTTTTGTTTAAAGATTTATTTATTTATTTTAAGCACATGAGTACACTGTAGCTGTCTTCACACACACCAGAAGGGGGCATCGGATCCCTTTACAGATGGTTGTGAGCCACCAAGTGGTTGCTAGGAGTTGAACTCAGGACCTCTGGAAGAGCAGTCAGTGGTCTTAACTGCAGAGCCATCTCTCCAGCGTTGTTGTTGTTGTTATTATTATTATTATTATTATTATTATTATTATTATTATTATTTCAAGGCAGGTGTTCACCATGCAGCTCAGGCCAGTGGCCCAGGTTGGTCTTGTCTTAGTGATCTTCCCTCAGCCTTCTATGTTAGCAGCTTTTGAGTTCAGCATTTTCCTCTTTACCAGGACAAACCCCTCTGAAAAGAACACTGCTTCACTGGGAATTAAGTAACATCCCAAGCTGCTCCTGGGGCAGAGAGGGAGGATTTGCTCCCAGCATTCAAATGTGCATCTGCCTGAGAGAAGCTTATTCACAGGGCACAAGGCACCGTCCTGTCCTGCCGGAGCACTCCTGAGATGAACTCGCACGTGACCTTTCTGACAGAACAGCTGGAGAAAAATGTGAATCTGGTGACTCTAAACAAGAGTCAGAGGAAGCCACCCTCGATAGCAAATGCCACCTCTAAGCCAGAAGGTGCTCGAACACCCTGAGACCTAAGGGAGAATCATAACATCTCTATGGAAATCAAGTTCCCCACGAGGAACTGGGCTTAAAACTGCACCAGACCTGTACTAGAGGAGCCAGGAGCCTATGGGCATGTAGTTTCAACCACATAGTACTGACCTCAGGGCTAGGGACTAGCTCATTTGGTAGAGTGCTTGCCTAGCATGCATAAAGCCACGAGTTTGATTCTCAGACCACGTAAGTCCAGTACACTCCTGCAATAACATCTGGGAAGTGAAGGCAGGAGATTAATGTTATCCTTGGCTTATCACATAGTGTGTTTAAAATTGGTCTGGGCTACTTGAAACCCTGTCCTAAACATACACACACACACACACACACACACACTATAGATAAATGTAATTTAAATTCTTTTTAATTAGACAAAAATAAGACCCACCCTTAGATTTAAAAACCCAGAATTGGGTTATCAACTGTCAGGACCATTTGCCAGCCCCATGGGTAGCCAATCACCTGTATCCTGACCCCATTTCAGGGAGTGTTCCACCACACAAATGGAAATGCTTCCCCACTCCTCTAGTGCTGAAGGCTACTCTGCTACACTTGCCCCAGGCTCAGAACTCCGCCTCCTGTTCCCACACAGCAGCCGGTGAGCACTCGCTGTTTTCACATTAAAAACCTCATTAGCTGTGACATTTAAAAACCAAGTGATAGTTGACTTTTTCCTCAACTAACAAAAACAGTCACACTTCTACTTAGTTTTTCTGCTGGAGACACAGTTCCTTATCCGGAGTTGGAAACAGAAATCACATTGTCACAACAAGTAGTAAATAACAGTACCGTGCCCGCCACACTTAAAGGTACACTTGTGAATCTGATAACCTAAGTCTCAAGACTCCATTACAAAATGATTGCTGACCAGGGCCCGAAGCTCAGGGTCATAAGCCTGTTCTGCTTTCCTGCTGGCCCTCTAGGCCTATAAAGGAGGACGTCCAGTGTCTTAAAGTATGAGAGGCAACTAGTCCTCACTTCCCAGGCTGCTAATGGTTTCACATAAAATGAGCTCCCGGGATTTTATTACCATTCTGCAGCAACTTCACAAGTGACAGGCCACCAGGGAAAGGATGGGGACACAAACATCTTCTCACTCCTGGTCTCTCGCTTCCCCAAGTAGGAGGAACCTTTCCACTTGGTATTTCAAATATACTGTCTCACTGGGCTGCTGGCTAATAAGAACAGGGATCTAGTCCATGACTTGGGGAGACCAGGAATAAAGTCACCAAGTTCTCTCTAGAGAGAGGGGGATTTGAATTTGCTTCCTAATCTACAGCTGTAAAAGCCACCAGGCCCTTGCATTCCCACTTACACAATATAGATGGGTGGACATCGGCTGCTCTTGCGTTTCGAGAAGTAATTAGAAGAAAACATTAAGTTGCACATTCTGACCACATAAAGCATCTCTGTACCCATGCTCACAGCCCAAGGATTGCTGTAACTCGCAGAGGTGATCATGGGAGCCGCACAAGGGAAAAGGCCCCAGTGGATCTGTAAACCTTGTGTTTTAATATGTGAACATTTATACAAAGCTTTAACGACACACAGCACACCAAACAGCGCCAATGAGCTGCTTTCAAAAGAAAACACCTCCTAGAAGCCTTTAAAAGAAGAGTTGGCAACCCGAAAAAAATGCATGAAATCACCAGTTTGGGTATGTTTGGCTATTTGTTGAGGGCTGTCTCTGGCCAGAGACCATTTACCAACATACTTAGGAGAAAGGAAACCTAAAAATCCTACAAAGTAAAAAAAAAGTTTTCAACTTTCAGAAGCAGCAGACAGGCCAGCGAGAGGCTCAGCCAGTAAAGGTGCCCTCAGGCCTGACCACCTCAGTTGGATGCCAGGAATCCACAGTAGAAGGAAGGAAATGGGTGCTGAGCTTTGTCCTCTGAACTCTACGCATGTATGGTGGCGCACATACACACACACACACACACACACATTGTACTGCTGTCTCTCTCACACACACATGCTTTTAGGTAATATCTTTATTTCTATTTCTAACATCTTTATGTCTAAGAAATGACAAATTGTTCTTTTACTGATATCTTTTAAAACTACAAATTAACATTTAAATGCCAAATATATGAAAAATTGAGGCCAGACATGTTGGTGCACGCCTGTAATCCCAGCACTTGGGAGGCAGAGGTAGGCAGATCTTTGACTTTGAAGTCAGCCTGGTCTACATAGTAAGTTCCAGGACTGCCAGGGCTACACAGAGAAATCCTGACTCAAAAGTAAAACAACAAAACCCAAAACCAAACAAACAAGTTCAGCATGACAGATTTGAACTAGTGTTAAAATTCAAAAACATCTCAAATTCAAATAAAACAAGATTCCATATAAATGACTTATGTATGCCTATTTCTTAATATGTATGTTTTTAAGCTCTAAAAGCACAACAAAACACGATTTAAAACTCTTTCACGCCGTTTTCTTTTTTATGACCACAGATCTTCTGGGGTCATTATTCATAATGGTAGAAGTGGTGAAAAGTGCCCCAGCTGCCAAAAATTATTTACTTTGTAGCACAAACGACTAAGGATGTAACACCCACTAACTGACCTGCAGAGAAAGGCGGGGGTTAATTTATTCTGCCTGCCTTGGGTTTTACTTTCTGTTAAAACAAGACTGGTTGCCATATTTAACCCCTCCATCACACTTTTTTTTTTTTTTTAAAAAAAAAAAGAGACCAAAGAATAGAGAAAGAGAAAAAGTGGCAAGAGGCCAACATTTGTGAGTTCCAAATTTGTTAGTGCCTTTGAGCCTATGACTTAAAAAGAAACATAAATTAGTCAGGTTTTGGTGGTGGTGGCCCAGGGACTCCGAGCATCTTAGGCCCCCCGGTCCATCACCGAGCCACACTCCCAGCCCACGATTATTTCCCCTCTGAAAAGCAGAGTGTTAAACAGGAATCTTACTGCTCTTACTGTGTACCCCATGCTTTTATGCACATCGAGGCTCTGGTGGCCCGTTGCCACTCAGAAACACTAGCCCAACCATGGAATCATGAACAGAAAGTCACAAGTCCTAACTGGATGAGCCTTCTGGCTGAGCGACGACAGGGGCCAGCTTATTAGTTCCCACATATAGAAGCCCTTTGTAACTGCAACCCAGGAATGTCATCTGTCTTGAATTATGTCCACCTGGGATTATGTCCCGATGACCAACACCGGCAGAACGCTGGGACCTGAGAACTTCACTGCTTCGGTGATTGACATTTAAACTGTTTGAAGTTTCTAATTAAGGTCTCTTAACAAATTAACTGCAGATGTAGGAAGCTAAGTGTGCAGTATGCAGAGATCCTAAGTCACCTGAGAGCTGCAAACAGCGAGAACCGGCTCAACATGGTGAGCTCATTAAAGCCGAGGGCCTGCGCCCCTGGTGCCATCACGATTGTGCTGGTTCATTTAGCTTTCCCAGAGCACCAAGTGCCTAGGTGCTGGAACCCACCTGCACATCAGAGATGCTCTACCACCGAGTGAGCGGCATCCCCAGACCCCCAGTGTTGTGACTGAATGGCAAAAGAGGGACAGGAGACGGAAATGTCCTGGAAATACCACTCAGACCAGCCATTACTCCAGTCTGTTGATTTGACAGGTTCCAAAGTCACCTTGAAATAAGCTCTGGGCACATCATCCATGACAGTTTCCTGATAGGTTAATTGAGGTGAAACAGCACCCATTCCACGGGCTGGGGTCAGGGACTGAATAAAAAGGAGAAAGCCAGTAAGCACTAGCATCCACCTCTCTCTGCTTCCCAACTACAAAAAGATAGCCAGCCACCTCGCAGCCATGCTCTCCTACCATAATGGATGGTCCCCGCAGCCAGCGAGCCCAAACAAACACTTCTGTGAGCATAGCAATGACGAAGCAGCACACACACCAACCAGGCTACAGGATGAAGAGCCAGCTTGATGGGTCCATCATTTTCACTGCCTGATCATCGCCCAGCAGGTTGTAAGTTAGAAGTCCTGTGCTAACTTACTCAGCCCCCATACTCAGCCATGTCCTGTCCTAACTCCTGTGGGGTATGCAAGTTTCTATTCCTGGGAATCCACCCTTCCCTCCTCTATCATCCTTTAAAGGCAGCTCCCAAGAGGATGGCCCAGACACCCCCAGAAAGTCACCCCCACCTCTGTGTCTCAACAGCACTCTGAGCTTATCCCTGTCTGATGGTTAATCCCAACTGTCAACTTGATAACATCTAGAAATACCCAGGTGCCTGTAGGGAATATCTTAACTAGGTTACCAGAGTGGGAAGTCTGGCCCTCTGTGGGCAGCACTATCCTCTAGGCTAAGAGCCTGGACTGTAGAAACAGAGAGTGAGCTAACCACAAGCACTCACATCTCTCCCTCTAAATTTTTTTTTAAAGTTATATATATTTTCATGTGTGTGAGTGTTTTGCCTACATGTACGTCTGTGCACACACATGTGTATAGTGCCCACTATACGAGGCCAGAAGAGGGTGTCAGATTCCCTGGTTGTGAAATGCCATGTGGGTGCTGAGAATTGAACCTGGATCCTCTGGAAGAACAGCCAGTGCTCCTAACTGCTGTGCCATCTCTGCAGCCAGTTTCTGGACTGTGCAATGTGACTATGGCTTCAAGCTTCTGCTGCTGACATTATCATGATGAACTGAAATCCCAAAATGCGAGTCAGAATAAATCCTTTCTCCCATAAGTTACTGTTGTCAGGACATCTTACCACAGCCATAGATAAGGAACAAGGACATTGTTTCTTGCCACTTGCCCCAACATAGTTTAGTCAAAACAGCTAAGACTTACCACAGGCCAAGAAGCTATGGAGGCTGCTGAGAGACCTAAACAATCATAGCAGAAGTACTCCTTCAAAGTCTCTTCCACCCAGCCAGCCACCTCACTGCACACTTGAAGGGACAGAGGCCAACCAAGAATAGCGACACATGCCTGTAATATCAGTACCCAGGAGGCTGAGGCTGGCAGATCTCCATGGGCAGCCTGGGATACAGTTTGAGATCATGTCTCAAGAGTTGGGGAGATGGATCACTAAGTAAAAAAGTGCTTGCTCTTGCAAGCCTACTAAGCACTTGAGTCCAGAGTCCCAGCATCCATGTAAAGAATCACCTGTCTGTAAACCCAGCACGCCTACTATGAGACAGAAATCAAAGATGGGAGAGTGATCTGGAAGCCTCTCACTTTGTGGGTCAACCAAAGTGTACAGCAAAGAAGTAGAAACAAGGGCGACCCTGTCTCAAAACAAGAAGGCAAGAACTGACTAACAAGACCAAGTACCAAATGCAGACCCTCTGGCCCTGCAGAGGGCCTTCAGCACATTGCTCCTCCTTCTCCACTTGATCAGCTGCCTCCAGGGTGATCTGAACCGGGGGACCATTCTTTCTTTTCACAAGATTGTATGAATGAATGCCTGAATAATAAAAAGAGACGTGCTGAAAATAGCTCTCCCCATTGATGTTTGGTGACAAGCTGTTCTAGGAAGTAAATACTGTTCTAATTTTCCGGCACAATATAACTAATAATGAGTTCTGCAAGAAAACAATGTTGTCCTTAGAAATATAAAAAAAATAACAAGTTTAAAAATTGTTTTTGAGGGAAAAAAAACACCACATCAAGCAGGAAGCCATATGGTTGCAAAGATGAAAAGATACATTTTTTTAAAATCCCTCATTAACAATAATCTGGAGATATTAACATTTTCACTAATTCCTCCCTAAGCAGGATACTCATTAATAACACACACCTGTGTCAACAGCACAGTCTTCATCTTCCGAAGCCTTGCGTGGGCTGGTGCCTGGGATCCTTGTTTTAACACCTTAGGTGTCTGTGCAGCCTGAAAGCTGCTAATCCCTGCTGGTCCCTGGTTGGTTGCAAATGCTCGAGGCTGCAGCCACCAAACCAGGCTCAGAGACAGGCTGGTAAGCAGCAGCCCCACCCCAGCCCGGCCAGGGGGCAGCTGTATCAATACAGTGTCCTGTCCTCAATGAGCTTACAGCATAGCCCACATGGGGGACTGCGGCCCAGCAGGCTATGGGGCCTGTAGTAGTAGCTGGTTCCAGAAGAAGCCACCACACGAGTACAGAGGCCTCTCCCACAGCCACAGCTGGAATCAAAACTAGGAGCAAGCAGCCAGCAAAGTGAGCAGTCCACACTCCCCAGTGTGCCCCTTTCCAGAACTACTCAAAGAAGGCAAAACAAAGCTAGCTCGGTCTGTAAAGCGCTTGCCTTGCGAGCGTTAGGACCTGAGTTCAATCCCCAGGACCCATGTAAAATGGTACCTGAGGCACACACAGCACTCGAAAGACAGCGAACCCCTGGGGCTTGCTCACCAGCAGGTCTGAGCCTGATCAGTGAACTCCAGTCCAACGAGAGACTCCGTCTCAAAGAAATTGAGTGGATTTTCCTGAGGATGACACCTGAGTGCGACACCTGCATACATGTGTACGTGTGCCCACGCACGTGTGTGAATACACACGTTTTTAAAAATGGCCACCTCAAGATGAAAGTGAACACTGCTCCCATCGTGCTAAGACGATGCCTACACTGAAAGACTGTTGTCTCTTCCCAGGGCTTTCTGAACCCTAGGCAAGTGCTCTGCTGTGGAGACATGATCTAGGCCGTACCACAGCCACTGTTAATGCACCTCCAGACTCTGAGCGGGTCCTGCCTTAAAGAACAGAAGTACTCCCTAGAAAACTGAAACCAACAGAAGGGTGGTCACAGCAACCTTGGGTTACACTGAGTCAGACTGGCCAGAGTGCCCTCTGGGACACCTTAGGCCTGAGGTATATACCACAGGTGGTATTTCTAAAGGCCCCCACCCCTCAACCATGTAAATCAACAGTGTAGTTTGTACAGACCTCTGGTTTACTCTTCAGAAAACTCTTTGACAAAAGGAGGAATACGGTGGAATAAGTAAACAGCCCTGGCCAGCGTTCAAGAAGTCAAAGCCAAGAAAGAATCTTCAGATTTGACATCTCAAATTACCACGAATGTTTAGACAAATCTATAATCTAGGAAAACATACAGACACCCACACTCAGACACAGAAAGTTTGCCTCTCACACCGAACGGATAATTAGTAATGAATTCTGATTTCTGCGGCCATGCGATGAGGCGTTCTCAAGACTCTTTTCCTCAGAGCCTGTTATGTGCCACGCTCTGTGCTAAGCACTAAGTTCCCAGTGTAAGGGGAAGGGCCAATATAACCAGAAAGTGTGTAACTCAGATCTTAGGATAGTCCTTCAAGAGAGGCAGAATGGGTTGCTGATGGAAGAGACAGGGTGGGAGGGGAGGTCCTCCCCCAAGGATGGAGATTTTATGTAGGTGTCTGCTGTCCTGTTGTGGATCAACATTTTGATGATAGCCTTTTTTGTTCCCCTTAAACAACCCCTAAAGAAACCAGTGTTTATTTACTTTTATTTTACGTGTATGGGTATTTTGTCTGCATGTATATCCATGCACCACAGGCATGCCAAGGGCCTAGTACTCATGGAGGCTAGAGAGCATCAGATTCTCTGGAACTGGAATTACAGATAGTGGTAATCCTCCATATGGGTGCTAAGAATTGAACCCAGGTCCTCTGGAAGAACAGCAAGCACTCTTAACTGCTGAGCCATCTCTCCAGCCTCTTCTTATAAGCAGACATAATAACCAGCATTTGGTGCCTCTTCCCATCTAAGTAAACACTGGATGTGTACCCTGCCACCCACAAGCCTCAAAAGCCATGGCCTAGCTTTAGGAAGGAGAGGACCACCTGTTAGTGGAGGATGAAAGGGGTGGAGAGACAAGATCACATCTGCTCAGGAGCTACAGGGAGGGGGAGGGCTCTCAGGTACAATGGGAGGAGGGGGAGGGCTCTCTGGTGCAGTGGGTTGAGGGAAGAGGAACAGGAGTGGGAGGACTCTCGGGTACAGTGGGGAGAAGGCAAGAGGGGCAGTGGGATGGACCAGTGTGCCTTTATGAATGGTTTGGAGAAACACCATGGAGCTAGCAACCTTGTACTCACCAGAACAGCTACAGTAAGATTGTAGGAAGTAGCAAGAGCTGCTAAGAATGTAGACATCCAAGCCCTGGTGCATTGTGGGTATGATAGAAAATGGAGCATAAATGAACAACAGTTGGACATTTCCTCAGACGTTCTTTGCAAAGGTACCACATGATCCCAGAATCCCACTCCTACATCCCAAAGGCCTGAAATAAGGATGGGGGTGTAGCTCAGTTAAGAGATAGTTGGTTCACCTAAGATGCAAGAGGCCCTGGGTTTAAGGCCCAGCACAGCACAAACTGGCATGGTATTATGGACCTGCAATCCTAGCACTTGGGAGTTCAGTGCAGGATGTCAGAAGCTCAAAGTTGTCCTCAGGTATATACTGAATCTCAGGCCAGCCTGGGC